TGGGGAATTCTGGGAATTGAAGTCCAGACATCTTAAAGTGGCCAAGGTTGAGAGACACTGGACTAACATATGGGCAAAACTAACCATCTCACAATATTTAATGCTGGGCGGTGGTGCAGTTAGCAGTCCCCACTCACGTGGTGCCAAACTAGAAGGAAAACACAAACCAGCAGGCAAAGTCACAGTACAAACCTTCAGGATTTGCTGGGCCTGTTCTGACAGCTTCACTTCATTATCTTCAACCTATAACCCAAACCAACAAGTGCTTCAATTCTGGTTTAGGGATGAAAGTCCTGCATCCAATTCTGGTACTCTGTTCAGGGGTGCAAACCTTCCCTTCGACCCCTGCACGTTGATTTGAGCAATCATAGTTAGATTGGTCAGACAAGCATAGGCCAAACTCCCTTGATAGTTTAGTTAGGTCACAGCAAGGGAACGGAGCTACAAACCACACCTTTCCTAGCATGACCCCATCTCCGCCATGGATAAACCCAGGGCGACACCTCCATACTTCAAGCCCCCCTCTGCAATCTGGGGATGCTGATCGCCCCTGCAATGCTGTTAAGAAGAAAGTGATCAAGACTGGAAGCGCCCGAAACATTTAAGTAGTGAAGTAGAAATGCAAACTATTCAGAATAGAATATAATGACTCTGTGCTTATATTCTGTTCTGTGTGAGATGGAGCCTGTTTCTTGGTTATTTTGAATGTCTGATGGTGGCTTTTCTAATTTTTTTTTTTCTTCTGGCTGCTATGAGTTTTATGTTTTTTTTTGGTGTGTTTTTTTAAAATAATTTTTAATATTGTTAGCTGTTCAGAGTCGTGTATCTGAGATAGGTAGCCATATAAATCTACTAAATAAATAAATAATGTCCCCAAGTATTAATACACAGACTGGCCTAATTTCCTGGACTGTCAAGAGTTGGATAAGATTCTTTTAATTAAAAAAAAAACAAAACCCTGTATACTTGGACTACTACTATTTCAACAAACTTGGGGCTGATTTCCTCATTCTTCAAAACTGTAAAAGGTTTTCCACGCCCCACAAAATGTTCCCTGGGTAAAGTCTGCAGGCAAGTGAGCAACCTACAAAGACGGCTACTTTTGTCTGATATTATAAGATGGATGTAATATTTTGCCAATAGGTATAAATGCGAAGCGAGCCAGTTTGGTGTAGTGGTTAAGGCACCAGGCTGGAAACCTTGGGCCAGTCCCTCTCTCAGGCCTAGGAAGCAGGCAAGGGCAAATCCCTTTCAAAAATGCTGCCAAGAAAACCACAGGGGCTAGTCCAGGCCGTCACCAGGAGTCAAGACTGACTCAAAGGCACCAAAATAAATAACTAAAATAAACATGAAAGATGGCGTGTGTGTGTGTGTGTGTGGTGTGTGTGTGTGTGTGTTCTCCTGTAAAGCATACTTCCAAACCAACGTGGCCCCCACTTGGGGTTACAGCTTTGTAGAGCCCAAACTTTCTTCCACCTCAGCTGCCTGAGGCCACATCAGCAGTTCCCGTGGCCCTTGGCTCTTATCTCATCTGCATTCCCTGGCAAAATATCGAAGCTGCACATTCCCAAGAGAGAATTCACCCTTTTTGTTTTCAGCGACCTGCAAGCTGTCACAAAAGGACTGTTTTTCCTCCTTGCTTTGGACCGGCTTAGAAAAACAGCTTTGTAATCTGTTTTCTATGTTCATTTTTCAAAGGAAAAGGGGAAAAAGCAAAACAGACAAACAAACAACCCCCCCCCAAGGCTTTGCAGGAATCAAGTTCTACTCACCAGCCAAGACACCGATCTTCGAATAGCTGCAGTGAGAATGATGTAACTGGTTTCTGTGTTAATACTGCCATCTGCAGTAAAAGAGTCAAAGAGAAGGGCTGAGTTTCTGGGTCTACTTTGAAAGCAATTCTTAGGGCAAAGTTACTGTGCTTAAATTTCTCTGTACAGTGGGATCCTCTATTTTTTTTGTTTTTGTTCTAATTATGTCACTTAGCCTTCCTCAGCACAGAGACACAACAAAGCTGCCTTTAGATCGCTCCATTGGAAGTCTGTGTTTACAGAATTCCTCCTTAATTTCTTTATCTCCAAACGGAGGAAGAGGATCTCCGGCCCTTCCAAGAATAGCTTTCACAGTGCAGAAGTGATAAGGCAACCTGTGGTCATTCAGATGTCAATGCAGTTCTCCTCCAAGGATCGCTTTCACTTGGCCATGCGAGTGGGGGGGGGCACAATTTGCCCCCCCCAAAGATAAGGAATAAAGGAGGGGGACCCTAACAAGATTAATATAAACCCGCAACTAACATTCTGCCTTTGGAAACGCATCTCGCAAGTCTTTCCCTACAATGTGCAGAGGGCTTTCCAATGGATTCCTTTGTTCCGAAGCATTTGGAAACACTCCTGCGTTAATGACATGTAGAAACAAAGCTGGCTGCTGAAATGCAGAGAGGTTTTCCACCAAGGAAAGAGGCGAATGTGTGGGAGAAGGAGGGAGACGCGCACAGGAGATAAATTGGCAGTGCTCTTTGGGCAGGTAGCTTAGCAACAATAAAATAAATGTTAGCCGCTCATGGGGGGGAGGCATTTATGTTTCTACCCAAGCAGAGCTGGCAGTTCATCGATTTCACATGGCGCACTTTCTACCATAGCAACATTTAGGAGAGGGTCCAAAACAGGTAGTCAAGGCTTAGATCTTGGATCTGTGGACTTAGTGCAGTGTTTCTCAACCTTGGCCGCTTGAAGATGTGTGGTCTTCAACCCCCAGAATTCCCCGGCCAGCCAGGCGGGCT